ACTGCCGCTTGCCATCTTGCACAGAAGAGGGGTGCGCGGGTAGCCTAGCAGGGTAGCCTAGCAGCTTTGTGCACTTAGCTGGCGCACCAGCGCACCAATGCCCGCACAGCGTTGCGAGCGCGGCCATGGCATGCACTGCTGGGCCGGCCTTGCAGCAGCGGCAGTGTAGATGGCCGCAGCAGCCTGCTGCTGGCGCCCCTCTCTGTGATTGTGTACTATCCCTGCTGCACCAGCTGTGCGCTGCATGCCGGCGCTGAGCCATGGGGGCTATCAAGTCACAGCAGCGCTCAGAACATGACTGCCACGCTGCACACGATCGATGCTGCGGCGCCAGCACTTGCGGCAGCGCTGCACCAAGGCAGCGGCGGAGCTGCGGCTGGAAGGCCGCCGCCGCAGCGGCAGCGGCGCGCACCTGCCTGCACTCGCAGCATGCGGCGGCAGCGCCATGTTGATCGCTGCAGCGGCGGCAGCGGTCAATGCGGCTACAGCGGCGGCTGCAGCGGCGGCAGCAGAGGCGCTCGCAGGCTGCAGAGGCGACCTCGCGCATGCGCACGCGCGTGCGGCACGTTAGCCATTACGCCCCAACGGCAGCGACTACGGGTCCGGCTCCGACAGCGCGAGGCGCGCCTGCAGCGTGGCTGAGCGCTGCTGCTGCTGCGGCGCCACGAGGTCGCGAAGCGGCGAGCGGCGCTCGTGGATCGGCGACAGCCCGCAGCCGCCGCCGCCGCCCCTGCCGCCGCCGCCGCCGCTGCTGCGCGGGCCCATTTCGATGTCGCGGCTGGCGGCGGCCACGGCGCCAGCGGACGCGGACGCGGGGGTCACGCTGAGGGGGGTGTAGAGGGGGATGTCGCGCATCTCGTTGCGCGCGCACAGAAACTCGCCGAGCAGCACCATGATGACGAGCGCGCAGCCCTGGCGCGGGGGGGGGGGGGGGGGGGCACGCATTGGCGTCAGCGCTCCGTGCTCAGCAGATAAAGACTTTGCATGTCGCTGGCGCCGCTTGTGGCGGCAGCGCGAGGGGGCCAAGAGGCGTCGCTGCTCGACCTGGCGGCATGCGTTGCATGCGCGCGGAAGCTAGGTGCGCTGGCACATACATGTACGTACACACATGCTCTCGCGGGGACTCCAGGAACACGGAGAGAGCGTACGTGGCAGCTGCGTATGCTGGCGTATCGATACACGTACACACATGCTCGCAGACACCTGTGGGAGCATACGGTATGTACGCGCGCGCACCTGGACGACGTACCACTCCCAGCCGGCAGCTACGTATGCTGTCGTATCGATACACATATGCACATGCGCTCGCGGGGCACGTGAGGGACACGCCGCGAGAGCGTACTACGCGCGCTCGATATACGTACACACATACTGCAGGCACTCCATAAACGACGTGAGCGTACGGCACGTATGCGCGCGTACCTGGACGACGTACCACTCCCAGCACACGTACACACATGCTCGCAGATACTTGTGGGAGCGTACAGCATGTATGCGCGCGCACCTGGACGACGTACCACTCCCAGCACACGTACACAGCGTACACTCCCAGCGCACGTACACAGCGTACACTCCCAGCACACGTACACAGCGTACAGTATGTATGCGCGCGCACCTGTACGACGTACCACTCCCAGCGCCGCGGCGCGCCGCCGAACGCGCACGTGAGCGCGGCGTGCACGAGGAACAGCGTCGCGGTGAAGTCGAGGCAGCGCTTGGTCTTCTCGACGATGACCACGAGCAGCAGCGCGCCCAGCGCCGCGGTGACGAGCGTCGCAAAGACGCCCGTGAGGCCCGGCGCGCTCGCGAAGGAGAGGTTCGCGGCGGAGAACATGAGGGACAGCGACAGCTGGGGGGGGGGGGGGGAGGGGGGGGACGCGGAAGTTAGTGCGTGTGAGGGACAGCGACAGCTGCGCACACAGGGGAGGGGGGGGGGTTGGAAGGTCAAGTGCGTGCGTGCAAGCAGACGCACCGCCTGACGTTGACCCTAACTGAAGCTCGAGTGCAACACTAAGTGTGGGGAGAAGAGCGCCATTGCTGCACATGCAACGGGGCGAGGAAAGTGGGGGGGGGGGGGGGCATAGGTGAGTACACGCAGTTGTGCGCACGCATGTTAACCGGCGTTTTGCGCCTTCACGCTAGGTCACCCAGCATTGGTGGCGGTCAGCGGCAGGCAGGATAGGACCGACAGTCCTGATGAGCACTGCGGGACGCAATGACACAGTGCCCTTGGGGGACGGACGGTCTGAGTGTGTACCCCAGCATGTATGCGTGTGTTCAGTTTGTACGGTTGGATCATGCACCAGGCGACAGGCGAGTCTGCAGAGCAGCTGCAAATAACACACCAGCGCTGCTTTGAGGCACAGCGCTGATCCTCCGGCAAGTGGAGTGCATGCCCAAAAGCCAACAGCCAACAGCCAGAGGGGGTCAACTGGGGCATTTGATGTCGGCGTAACAAGGTGCACATAAGTGCTTAAGAGTGCTGGTTTGGCGAGGCATTACTGAGGCACCTGCTTGCCGGTTCTGAGATAGATTTTTTGGAGCCCAGGTTACACACGTGCATATCGACGGTGCCTCTTACCTTGGTGCCAAATATGATCCGGAAGCACGTCAGCACCACGCCCATCACCACATAGTAAAAGCTCTGCAGGGCCACTATCTGCATCACAGTCAGCTTCGCATCAAAAACTGCCATGGTGCTCTTCGTTGCGCAGCAGACGCTTCGTTCGCTTCCCTCTCAGCCTTGTTTGCTGCTGCACCACAACGTTTCCTGTTCTTCTTGTGCAACCACCAGCGCCTAGGAACTAGGACCAATTCCCAACGTGCCACCACTTTTTTCACGTTTGAAGTTTCAACGACAAGAAGGACCGACGGGGGATCAGGGTTCAGCATCAGGCAGGCAGGACCAGCAAGTGCAGCCACGTGCCGCCGCAATGGGCGACGCCTGCGTTTTAGTGCTGGCATGCATGCAGGCACACAGGGGAAGCGCCTCCATTGCTCGCTGGGGTCTGCAGGCGCTCTTGCAGTCACTGCTGCACGCCTATGCTGGGGGGGGCTCTGCTGAGGAGCTGTTGGCTTGCCAGCTCAAGTTAAGGGAGGCGGGCATCGGTCAGACTGTGGTGGGTGCAATGAAGGATGGCGCAAGTAACGTGAAGGTACAGCGTATTTGGGGCTTCAACAATCAGTGTGCTGGCAATGGACACTGCCAACAGCAAAGCACTGGCGGACGCAGGAGCTTGCGGAGTACTTGCATTAGCGCTGCGCAGATTCACGGCAGATTTCGCCTTTTACAGCACCGCAGTAGGTGCGATCGGCGGCCTGGCGGCATGTCCGGGAAAGGAGGAAGCGCTAGCCGCGGGCGATGCCTGGGGCGCGGTGGTAGAACTGCTGTCAGTCAACATGCACAATCATGACCTTGTGGCATTCGTGCTGAAAAGCGGCTGTGCGCCATGCCAGCAAGCACGCGGCCGCTCTGTGCGCGGCTGGCGCGTGCGAAGCTGCGGTACAGGCGCTGAACACTTATGCGGAGGACCAGCGTGTGCAGCACTTGAGCCTCGCTGTTGTGTCAAGCATCGCACTGAATGAGACGGGGTGGGCCAGGTTGTGCACTGCAGACCCTGGCCCCGCTGTGATCAGGGCCATGCGGTCGTTTGCAACGAATGCCGAAATCCAACTGCATGGCTTCATGATAGTCTCTGCACTTGCCATTGGGAGCAGTGTGTACAGCAGGCAGCTGGTCGACATGGAGAGTTGCGAGCTGGTAGCGCCTGCAGTCGAAAGTTGCATGCACAACGCCGACACCACCGCTGGCGCCCTTGCTGCATTACGCCTCTTCGGTACAGCAGCAGGCTACCGCGACAACTTAGGCCCAGCATGTGCAGTAGCAGTCGCTGCGGTAAATGCGTATCCAGACCATGAAGGTGTCATCAAGCACGGGCTTGTAGCAATTGACAACCTCTCCTGCACGGCTGCAAACTGCGCATTGCTGCGCCGCGCTGGTGCGCTGGAAACAGTTGCAGCAGCCATACGCCGCTATCCACAGAACGCCATAACTTCGACTGAGGCGGATGACTTGCTTGCTAGGCTAAGTGGTGCAGGGTGACCAGGACAGCTTCGAAAACGAATTCAACGGCACAAGCAGGCACACCCATTCTTGCTGCACTCCTGAACCAGCATCAGTCAGGTATTGCGTGTAGTGCAACAGCTGAGAGTCAGAGTCTCAGGGTCAAGTCCGTGAGCTATGTCATAGGTTAGTGCAGAACTGTCACGCCAACAAGGGCCATGCCATGCGAAAATTCATGCGCACTTGTCCGCGACACAGAAGCTGCAGCTACGGGATAATACAACGCGCTGGGCAGAACACTCGCAAATGTTGCTTCTGTCACTCATGGCACCAATTGTTGCTATTCTTTGTCAGTGTGAAGTAGTGCCTGCATCATTTGCTGCGTGACAAGTTTGTGTTTATTTTGCGAGGGTGGTGTGACGAAGCGATCATTCAATTACACTTGGTCGGGATGATCAGTGCGCCAGATTGTTCAGTGCTGCAGCAGCACTGCAGCCTTGCTTGCTCATGATAAACATGTGGACTTTGACTTGTGTACACGAGGCAATGCACATGGGAGAACTGACCATAACAGTAGAGGGCGCAGCACAAGACATTGAGCTGCAGTTGCTGTATTTTATGCGAAGCATGCGCAATGGTGCCGAGCACGAGTTGGGTTACGCAAGTAGTACATTGATGTCCGACATCCTGTCAACCAGCTTTTGCACGGGTGCATCCTGTGTTATATTCGTCGCAATGATGGCGATGAAGCCCAGAGACACATGGACGCTCTCTAATACAAGTCTACGAGCACACTCTTAGTTGGAGATAAGAAATCAAATTTATCATCCCCAACTCTTACCAAAGGATCCCACAGTGCGGTATGATTATGCTTGCGCGGACCCATCGTCACCTTGCGGTGCCATAGATTGCGTGCTGCAGGCTGCTACTTCTAGGTGCTCCGGTGGCGCAATTGGTTAGCGCTTTGGTCTTATGTGCCAAGGGTTGCGGGTTCGAGACCCGCCTGGAGCAACCTTTTGTCTTCGATTTTTTTCGAAATGTTCATCATGCCAGTTGGTGACCTAGCCAGCTGGGCAGACATCTCAGGGTGCGGGATTGCAAGTGACTTGCCAGCCAGCCAGACGAATGAAACTGAGAGCCGAACGGCTCGTATGTAGGGTTCAGGTTGGGCGATGAACATAACCTTAGGGATCACAACACGTGGAAGCACCCTCGTTCTCAGAACATTGTTGTGATGGTGTGCACACTTTATTAGAACCAAGTAGCATATCCCAGCACCAGCACACATCAATGCTATGCCTTGCACAACCCAAAAAGGGCTGGCCGCTGCAGGATTCGCCCGATTTTGCTGACAATGAATTTCCCGGTTTTGCCTTTATTGTTGCTGCCCCCAAGCCAGAGGACCCAACATTGCGACGTAGCAAAGGTGATCACAACAACGCGACTCAGTGGTATCAACGGCCTCATGGTCGCAACAGCAGCTCTGGATTTTTGCTATCATCACTGCTCAGATAGTCACGGTGCACATCGATGATCATCTCTTCGGTGCATGCCATCACATAGACATGGACCAGCTGCCAGGCGGTACATTTGACGAGCATATTGGCGGCAATCCACGGCTTCTTTTTCCTTCTCAAAGGAGCATTACCTGCACTGCAATGTCAAAGTGGCTTGCGGGATTGCAAGCTTGGTGCACAGACAGCAGCCCTGCCACATGGGACCATAGCATGCAGAGCACGCCACCTTTGCCGGCTGCATGTGCTAATAATGTAGGACAGTTCTTTGGCAAGTGGTCATTATCAGCAGGATGTACAGCTTCCAGGGGGGAGGGGCACATGGAGGAGGACGTAGGGGAGGACCCCGAGATGCCATTTGGCGGCGGCGGCGTTTGAGTGGTGGTCGTTGCGACACTTTCAGACTGTCATACGACATGTAGATTCCTTACAGCAGCATCAAGTTAGACAATCAGCTGGGCTTTTTCGCGCCCTGAGCGAGAATTAATAAAAAGGACAGCTCAAGCATCGGCGTCCGGATGTTCCAGCAACGGCCCATGGCAGTACACTGTGATCCTGTTGTGCAACTAGAGCTCCTATGAAGGCCATCGTGTCTCGTGGAGAGCGCCACACTGGCAGTGAGTCGCCTGCAGCGCCGACAGGGTTGCGCTTCAAGGGGGTTCCGCACTTTGCGTGCGCTCGAGGCAGCAGCAGCCAGCCCCTGCGCCAGTGTGGCCGCAATCATGGGCCGCATGCCCGTGCAAGCGGTGCAGGCTCCTGCGCACTTCAGCAAACCACACACGCGTTGATACCACGCAGCGCGCGGGCAGACGAGCCTCGCAGCGCGGTGTGTGGCGCGTATGTAATTTCACGCTGAGCCCGCAGCGTGGCGTGCGCGCGGCTCAGCGCTGCTGGCGACAGCTGCGTGAAAGCTGGATGCGCGGGCGGCACAGTGACCGTCTGCTCGTGCTCATGCCTATGCCCGGTGCAACGCGCGCTTGCGGCGCCCTGGTGGTCCAGCGGCGGCGCCGCTGCGCAGTGCATGCAGTGTGTTGTCCCTCTGCGGCGAATCTTCCCGCTTTGCGCTGCGGCGTGCGTGCGTGCCCCATTCGCACTGGTGGCTGACGCCTGGCTCCAACGCCATGCAATGCACTGCAGAAATTGTGCAGACAATCATACCCATGCACCCTTTTTGGCAGCGCCGGGCGCACGTTTGCTTGGCGCAGGCGCAGCTGCTTGCGCCTTGCCGTTGTTTACGCTGCCGTCCTGTGGGGCAACGCATGCAGGTGGCGCAGGCGTGAGCGAGCGCGTCATGCTGCAGCGCTCAACTGTGAGGGCGAGATTTGCAGCCTGCCGCGCGAGCACCACACTGGGCTGGGACTCGTGCAGGAGCCACTGGCAGCATACGCGGCTCACATAGTGCGGCAAGCTGCTCCACCGGTGATGTTTATATCAAGGCCCGATCGGAATGTGAGCGCTGAGGCTCACGCTTGCGATAGGTAACGTACTGCGACAGGACGCATGACAAGCCCATGAGGCCCGCAGGGCTCTGGCTCACACGGCGGGGCAAACGGCGAACATCGTTGGTGCACTGGCAAAGTATTTGGTAGAAGCGTCACACAACTTGCAGGGCTCACACAGCAACTGTCCCAACAGCAAAGCGCAGCATAAGTCTGCAGCGCTCCGTTGATGCATGCCACCCTCACACCGCGCTGCCATGTCCAAAACTCAGACGGCTCAATGTCGCAGCACTGCATGTTCACGGTAATGGCTTCGCAATGTTGACGTCGTGTCGTTTGGGCTGGCTTTATGCTGCTGGTTACATATCAATTGCAATGATGTGATACATCCTGGTCTGGACGCGAGCAAGGTTTCTGCCGCAACCAGGATTAATCAAATTGTATCTGGCCGTGCCCTTGGCGGCCGCCCCGCCCGCCTGGCCAGAGTGCTGATGTACTTCACATCGAGCTCCAAACCGAGGACGCGCATTGTGATCGGTATTTGGACTGCAGCGCATGCTGGCACCCCTCTGCTGCTATTTTCACATACAAGGCAATGGTGTATGCACCCTTTCTTTCATGTGCTTCACGCAACACAGATGCTGAACTTGACAGGCCACTTCCTTCTTCCACTAGCCGCGGGTGCAAATTCTCCCGTCACAGGGCTCAACTGCGACACTGTACTCATTGCGATACACGGCAACGGTCACAGCCACGTTCGGGGGGCATATTTGAGGGCCGCAAAAGTACCTTTGCTGAGGGGCGCTTGACTGCACATGCGGTGGCGCCTGCCGCTGCCCCCTGCTGCTCCAGCTTCTTGGCGTAGAACGCGAGTGCCTCTGTGCGCGCGCGCGCCTCGGAGTCCGCCGCCTGCGCCTGCATGCATGCATACCCAAAGGACAGCTGAGCATACATGCATACCCAGAGCTAATGATGATCAGCGGTGCCCGCCCTGCAGTGTGAGTAAACTGAAGCGCTGCTTGTCTGGCCGCCCGCGGGAAGAGCGCCCTGAGGGTCGGGAAGTGGGTTGAGGCCGTGGGAGCGCCGCGTACTGAGCAAGCAGCAGTGTGCTGCGCTTGAAGTATGCTATGGCCCGCGGGATGTGCAGACTGCGTGTGGATCAAGCTTGTGGCTGCGTACGCGGGGTGGTGACAGTCGACTGCCGAGGCCTGGCAACAGGGTCCCCTCGTATGGTGCCTGGAGTACTGCTGCCCCTGACAGGATTGGCGTCGTTGCTGCAGTTCTGTCAGCAGCAGGATGATCTGATTACAGTCTAGTTCGCGGTAGCTGCGGTGCACAGTTGGGACAGAGGTGTGTGCTGAGGGCTGGCATCAGGCCAGTAGCCTCACGCGATCATTCGAAAGAGCGACCAACAGCAGCCGACCGCAAGGCGTCTCGCCTCCTACACCATCACAACACAAGCAGAGCACCAGCGAGCTCATTGTGCCTCATGAAGCCCTGACATCAAATACATTGAAAGCAGCAGTATGCACCAAGAGAACTACCACCGAAACCAGCATGCTATTAGCAGAGCTTGATGAGATGTCCCATCGCATTTGGGCGCGCGGTGACTTGCCTCCGCTGCCGCAGCGCGCGTCCGCAGCTCCCTCGTCACGTCGCGCACCTGGCGCGAGACGCACACCACGAGTGAAGCGGAATGAGCACGCATGTAGCGCAATGCGAAAAGGTGATGTGCAGCGCCACACATGAGTAATTTGACGACGCATGTCGGCGTTTCTGGACACATGTGCCGGTGCGCGGTGCAGGGCCTGCTCGACACGCTCCCACTTCACAGAGCACGCCGTGCCAAATGTCTACATTGCGCCATGCCTGCATGACGCGCGCGCGTGAGACACGGGGTTGGACAATGAGCACAGGCAAGAGGAGGGCGCCCAGCTGCGTCGAGCATGCTCGCTGAACTACGGTCCGGGATGGGGGTCGGTGACCTGCAGCACTGCTCGACGGAGTACAGTGCGGCTGCGGCACGCGCTACGCCCGTGGTGGTGCATGTCGTCATGACGTGGCGGCACTTGCACTGGCAGTCCCAAGCTTCCTGAACCATATCGTGGGGCCTTTTCGACAGAACCATCCGCAGACCATGCAGCGGCCACCGCCGTGACCCCACTGTGAAGCGATTGCCACCAATCAAGCAGCACCGTGACAGCAAAAGCCGCCCCACCGCACACAGTCAGTCGCTGAGCAACTTCAACTTCTACTTCAGAGTGATGCTCCTGCACCCCCCCACCTCTCTGCGCATCTCCTTCAGCGCCCTGTCCGCGCTGCCGTCGGCCCCTGCCATAGCCCCCTCGAGCTCGCGCTGGCGCGTGAGCGAGCGCGCGAGCGCGGCGTCCGCGCCCCTGAGCGCTGCCTGCGCCAGCCTGAGGGTAGGTAGGTAGTACCGTGACATTGGTGAGAGGGTGGTATGGGGGGTTGGTATGATCGCACAGGTGGCGCAGGGACGTAGTGCGGGGGCGCGAGTGTGCGCTGCGGTAGCGTTGGCTGTTGAGCGTTACTGTATGTGTGTGACGGGGCCGCCTGCATGCACGTGCGGCGTGGCGTTCGCATGCGCGCACTGTAGTGCCGCCTTGCCTGCTCACTGCGATGGCAGGCGCTGCGCGCTGCACAGCCTCGCGCTATGGACGTTACATGTGAGCTGCAAAGCAGCTGATGACATCTAGTCAACGGCGTCTGTGATGATCTGAAGAGCGCCCAGCTGTATGCCGTGACACGATGCCGGTGGTGCGTGCGAGGGCATTCGCGGCGAACGTGACAACGAGCAGGCCCTGCGTTCGCCGCATTGTCAATGAAAGCGGATGAGACTTCACAGTACAGGGAAGATAGGATTCAAACCCAAAGAACACATGGCGTACCCGGCCTCCCTGGGGGCCTTCAACTATCCATAATTACAAGTCAGTGGATACAGCAAGCACCATACGCTGCCCTCTCAACATCACAAAAGTAGCAAGTCACCTGGCCTCCTGGAGCTGCTCGGTGAGCACGACGATGGTGCCCTCCAGCT